AGTTTAAATTGTTGTTTTTCTTAAGTTTTCAGACATGGATCCTAAAACAAAAGTAATACGATGAATACGATACGTGATGCGATATTTTCATGATATACACCTTTATTGCGATATTTGTGGAGGCTTCTTTTAAAAAAAACACTGATACTGTTATAATGGTACTGTTGTAATATGAAGAATTAAGATTTTAAAGTGTTATTAATGTAAAGTTTGCACTGACAACACCAAAGGATCATGGTCGATGTAGTTCCATCAGTTTTTTTAGCTATTGCTCCAACATAACAGTGAATTTAATTAAAGAGACTTGTAGTTTGATATATTGTGACAGTCTGCGGTATTATTGTGAGACTTTTGATGATTCAGTTACTGTTACATCCCTATTTTGGTCAATATTGAAATGACGATTATTGAAACTATTATTTTTTAGTTACATGATGGCATTTATTCAGCATTTCTTTCTCTAAAAAAAGCACCTTGTTATTGATCATTTCAAACTGAAAATAAATATAGGCTACAAATATGAACATTAAAGCAGTTTTGCGATGTATAAAACATAAAATTTATAAAATATACTTTGAACATGAAATAAGGCAGAGAAAAACATAAATTTATCCAAAATAAACTATATATACACCTCTTCTACAGTCTCTGTATTTAATTAAACAAATATACTTGTTTATATAAAAATATCCAAATTAAACTTTGTTAAGCTATTTGAGTTTGGAGATCGTTTGACACACGAATCGAAATCACGATCAATATTCAATTAATTGCCTTACTCCTAAACATTAGAAATACATATAGAATTAAATATACCAGTAAACTAAATGTTAAAGGTGCATTGTGTAACTTTTCTGGTGGAATGCCCGTCACATGCTTGTGGAGATGTTATTTCTTGGTCCAGACTGTTCCACGGTAGAGATTAAACCTAAAAATCTATCTATAGGCTACATTACAGGTCTGATCTGTGGAGAGGCAACCCTATTCCCAGAGAGAATTGTTGTATTTTTGAGCAATAAAAAAAAAAAGAATAAGTGCTAGATAGACTTGTTTAATGTCACACCATGGAGCATAACATATCCACCAGAAAGGTTACAGAGCACACCTTTGAAAATGTGATTGCTCTGTGTTTTGCATGTTTCCCATTTGCAGTAAAACACTATTGCGTCTCATTTCCATGTGTTTGCATGGAGCTGTCTGACTGATTTCCCATGCTTTCTATGAGCGCAGTCTGTGGCATTCCTGCAGTGCATTGTTGTCAACACAAGCCTCTGTTGGTAATTAGTAACAGAGCCATCACCACTGACCCTATGGGGACAGAATGAGCACAGCGCTGACCTACTTGTCTTTGCCATCAATGTTGCAACCATCATTAAAATAACTCAAATATGGACTTGACTTGACAGTTAATGTTTGTTTGACCAGTGGTTTTGTGTAGTTTTGTGAGACGCTGGGTTTTATTTTGTCTGCTTTTGTTTTCGTTATGTATAATTTCCAAATTATACAAAGAAAATAATAATAAATACTTGGATAAATACTAAATTAAACACAGTATTTTGGTATCTGTTTGAATCACAAGCTCATTTTAGTGTGAAAAAACAAAACTAAAACATAAAACATAATAAGTGATGACAACTCTATATTAAAGATGCAGTCAGTAACTTTTGTCTGGTGTAACAATAACCGAAATATCGTGATATAAGTTTTTTTTTTGCTTAAATGCATTGTTTTACAGTAGCAGCAGCTTTGGGAACTTCGTGAACTACATATCCCATGATTCATTTCAGTGCAGACAACTTGAAGAAATATGTTTTTTACTTGAATTCTTGGGATTATGATGGAAAACATTCACACCAAAATCTTGTCAAGGTATTTTAAAAGCAAAAAAGTTTCCTGTCTCCAAAATATCACAATAAATATCGTACCTTGAGATTTTTATAGTGAAAATATCGTACAGAGAGATTTGGATTTCGTTACATCCCTAATGGCGAGTCTTTGTTGCTTGTTTCCATGGATTTTTTATTACTTTGCCTTGATAGAATGTTATACAGTATGGCACAGGTGTCAAACATACGGCCCAGGGGCCAGATCCGGCCCTCCAAGACCTTTAATCTGGCCCTCGGCTGATTTTCTACTAAAATATTTACCTCCGCCAAGGAGGTTATGTTTTTGCCGGCGTTTGTCTGTTTGTTTGTTTGTTTGTTTGTTTGTTTGTCTGTTAGCAACATAACTCAAAAAGCTATGGACCGATTTTGATGAAATTTTCAGGATTTGTTGGAAATGTGAAAAGGAAGAACTGATTTCATTTTGGGGGTGATCCAGAAGAAATCCTGGATTCTGGATCACTTTGAAATTTTAGTTAACATTGTGGTAAATGGGGCCAAAAATTTTGTTTCTCAATATCTCGGTTAATTATTGACCAAACCCCATGAAATTTGACTCAGGGATGGACAATGGGATCCTCTTTCATATTCCAAAGGCTGATCCGGATCTGATCCAGAAGACTGATTTTTATCACAATTTATATAAAAAATGGGGGTAGTCCTTGGCGGAGGTCTGCGCTCTCTGAGTGCTTTTCTAGTTTAATTATATTTCTTATTAAATATTGGTAATTTTCTGTGGTGTTTATCACAGCAGCGTCTCCAGTGCCTCTGTACGTGGCCCTCCCACCAGAGCAGCACAAATGAAGACTTGTCTCTTTCCAAACGCTCTTAAAGGACGATCGTTTTGACTGTTGACCGTGACCCTCATCAACAAAATGTCCAACATGAGAAAAGTGGAGCCAAGTGCAGGATTTTCCAAGAAAAAATAACTTATTCCTATTTGCAGACAAGTTAATGTTAAAACTTTGTGTTGAAATTGTATTTTAAGTTTCAGGTTGTTCATAATATTATAATATTTAGTAAAAAAAAAAAAAAGAGTTCATCAAGTAAAAAAGATTTCTGTAATAGATTTGTGTTTCTCTGCACAAATATTTGAACTTATTGTTATTTTTGGGGTTTATATGACATGAGTTTTCTGATCCGGCCCCTTTGGGATCAAAGTCGGTTGAATACGGCCCCCAGACCAAAATGAGTTTGACACCCCTGTAGTATGGCATTAAACTTACTGTCTGTTCTCAGTGAAGGCCAGGCCAAGTTACAGGTCAGATCTGTGGAGAGGAGATCCCGCTCAGAGTCATGTGTTTTTCAGTGTATGTTTTTACAATAGAGTTTGCAAGATTAACACGTTTAATGCCGAACAGTGGACAATTTCAGGCAAAGCGGTTAAATTCCCATGATGTCAAGCAGGTCCCTTCACCAAAAAAGTTCCGTAGTGCAGCTTTAAGTGTTGAGGAAGTTTAATAAGATCTTGTGTAATGCTCACTTCCTTTGGCTTGTATAGCTGGCAGCATGACAAAGCTTTTGAACAGTGTAAATGTGCTTGTGTGATGAATAAACAGTGAGTGAATGGACTCACCAGGGCTCGGTTCAGGCCAGTAGAACCAGAACAATGGTGTGGTTCTGTTGCATCTCCAATTAACATTCTGCAACAAATGTTTAGCTTGGAGTTTTATGATGAGAACGCAATTTTTGTTTCTCTTTTTTTTCTAGCGTAAAGGTCAAGTTAGCTCTTATATACATTATCATACAGTCCATGGTGTTTAATAGTGAGGTTACGCTTTTATTTTGGTGACTTCCAGAAAAGACGCAAAGTAAACAGCAACGTTAACGGTGAAAAAACAAAAACAACGGTGAAAAGTTAGATAAAAAACCTAAAGATAGCAACAGTCGACAGAGGAACAAGGTTTGGTTTATTTGTGAATGTATATTTGAGCTTCTTGTAATTTGTACTGAATTAATGTTAAAATATGGATAATGGTTAAACTGCGTAATGAGCAGTGATACGGTGATCATATGGTAATTTCTGTTATTTTGTTCTTGTCTAGATCTTACGTTGGTTCTATGACACGGCAAGGATAAGATTAAAACATTTAACCATCAGTTCTGGCCTTCTCAATATGACTGGATGCTACATATAGAGTTGCACTGGTCAAAAGTTTTAGAACACCACACTTTTTCCATTTTTTTGCAGTTTACTATTGACCAAAACATATTCTTAACTTTTGATTCATGAAAGTGTCCACCTTTGGCAGATATAACAGCTGAACACACTCGTGGCTCTTTCTTTTTACAATATAAATCAAATATTCTTCAGAAAGTTCTTCCCAAGTCTGTTGCAGAAGTTCCTATAAATGTGTGACACTTGTAGGTTTCTTGTCTTTCACTCTTCTGTCCAGTTCATCCCAAACCAGCTCGATGGGGTTTAAGTCTGGAGACTGTGCTGGACACTTCATGTTTTCAAGTTTACCATCTTGTTCTTTTTTCCTGAGGTAGTTTTGGCAGAGCTTGGACTTGTGTTTTGTTATGTTTTATCTTTTTTTTTTTTTTTTTTTTAACCTGTGGCTGTTCAGTTCTTACCTTTGTACTACTTCAAGCTCTTCATTGGACTTGCGCGACTTGAACTGCAATAAATAACTGGAAAAAATCGGATGTTGCAGTATTTAGCTGAGTCAATAACAAATATTGCAAGAACTTAAATATAGTGCAGTAATGTGAAAGGTCTCCATTTGAGAGCACAAAAAACGAGAGAGAGAGAGATCACAAAAAAGGCGGAATTCAGTCATGATTTTCCTTAGGCATGTTCGTTTTAAAAATAAAATATACTCTTACTCTGTTCCTCTGAGTGATGTGGTAACATAGGTCCACTGTGTTTTTAAACTTCTTACACCTTCACCAGTATCATGTGGATGAATTCAACTCCAGGTCTGTTTTTGAGGAGGTAACAATTCTAACATGGCTTAAAGATCACAAGAGTCAAGTTTGTACCTATTTCCGTACATTTCAGATGTTAAAATATGTCAGAAAAATCACAGTTTGACTTTTTTTTCTTCTCATATCGTGCATTATTACTAAACATCGTAATAACAATGCGTGTTTTGTTATTCTGTGTGGTTCCAGGACCTCCTCGTCTGAGATCCGGAAACACTATGGAAACTATGGAAACTTTGGAGTCTTGCACAGCAGGACAAACTCTAATGCGTCCGCCTCGGTGTCTCTCACTGTGGTAAGTCTCACAAACATCTCACTTCACAAAGGTCCATGGGATGAGGAATCCACTGTTCTGTCGCAAAACATACTTGTATATTCTCTTTAGTATTTAGGCTACTATGTTCTTTTTTTTAGCGTTTTCAGCATTTCTGAAAAGATAAACGGTTAACACACAACACTGAACACGACATAGAGAGGGAACAAAGACAAACTGCATCCTGTGTCATAGATCACATTAAAATTTAAATACTGTTACGGCTAGGGATGCAACAACCAAAATATCGTGATCTCGTATTGTCAAAGTTCTCACAATAATATCGTGGACCATCACAATATATCGAATCATAAGTCTCTTTGCTTAAAGTTGTATGGAGGATTTTTTTTTTTTTTTTTGTTTCAAGTTGTCAATGATAGCATTATAGAGGTGCAGTAGCCTTGTAATTATGATGACCAAAAAAAAGAGAATAAAAATTCATCAACTCTGGACGTGGTGGGCTAAACATTTGCCAATAGATAACGACACTGCCTCGTTATCTGTGAGCTGACAGGCTGTCAATCAATCTCCCTACGTTTCTAGCGTAACTGACTTGCCTGCGCGCCGCCGGTACGTGGTTTACGTACGCCTGTCACGCAGTCCACAGACGCAAGACGCACAGACGCTGTTTACTCCACCAACGCAACAGTTCTTAGCGGCTTTTTTTGACCTATATCTTCCTCGCAGTTCGCACAAAGTTTGTTGCAATGGCGACAAGAATCCAGGAGCAGTTCGCCGCAAAAGAAAGTCCGTTTTTGAGGTCGCTGAAAGAAGAAGACAAGGGGAAAAGCAGCGAAGCCAAACTAAGGTGATTCTTGAAGATTCATTCCAGCGATGGCGCGAACTGAAGCAGACGCAGGGTCTAAAGACTGACGCACTGGTCGCCAAATTACTCCTGGACAGGTCAACTTCTGCTTATTATGAAAACGTACTTTATTTCCAAGAGCTAGTCAAACGTTTTTCAGGACACGAAAGCGATATCCTATGTCTGAAAACGTAATTTTCAAGGCAAAGAAAGAGTCCGCTTGCTGCTGCGTGTTGTAGCTAGTTCATTCGCACTGAATCTCCGCGCAACCTTCTCTGCACCCCTTTCCTGCTCCTGTCCCCGCTGCCCGATCCGCTCTTCCCCCTGCTCCTCACTTCTCCGGGCACGGAATCTCCGCGCACCGCTCCCTCTCCTCTCTCTCTCTCCTCTCTCCTGCTCCGCTCTTCTCCCTGCTCCTCACTTCTCGTCCGCGAACGAAATGTCCGCACACCCGCTCCCCCCGCTCCTCACTTCTCCGTCTTGCCTAACCAACACTGTAGTTAGTTGTTTACAAGTCATGTGCAGCACCGGCTGTAAACAAACCTGTTTCTGGCGTAAAGAGGAGGCGGGAGGAGGCGTTTCTACGTAGGAGCTGTAGGGGAGGGGGGGGTGGTTTCACGCATGCGCAACATTTGAAAAAGGACAAACAGTCGCTGGATTTCTCGTTCCTTGGAAAATCCTCTATACAACCTTTAAATTAAGTGAGCCTCTTTGGATTAAGTCTTGTCAAGGCACATATTAAGAATTTTGTTAACCTCCACAAAATATCGCAATAAATATCGTACTGTGAGATGTATATCGTGAAAAATCATATCGAGAGATTTGGATATTGTTACATCTGTAATCGTGAGCCTCCCCACCATATCATGAGCTTTCCTGTGATATCACAATAAATATTGTACTGTGAGGTTCATACCGTGACAGTATCGTATTGTAATACTGTAAATATCGTAAATATCATAAGGATATGGTTACGCTCCTAGTTACGGCACATCATGTCCAGAATCTGAATCCCATTTAGTCCAAAGTTTGTATAAGAGGTCCTTTTTCAAATTAAATTCAGATGTTGTTTTTTCAATTTTTTTGAATTTCATTTATAATTTCTGACCAGTCTTTGATCGATGGCGCAGTCTGTGTCATCCATTTTTTTGTAATGGCAGGTCCATGGCAGGGGTGACTACTGTGTTCTAATGCAGTGATTCTTTTTCACACAAAGAACTAAAAACATTTGTCTTTCTGAGAACCAAGTCCAAAACCGTTCCAGATGTTGAAATATGTCAGAAAAATCACTATTAAATTTTTTCCCCCCAAGTCCTTCAACCATCTTTATCCATCTTGGAAGTTACAAATCATAGAAAGACAGACAGAATCTTTACTTAAAGGGTCATGTTTTTCCATAACCCAGGTGAGCGCTTCCTCCTGTTTACATCACACAGCTTAAAGCATAGGATCTGTCAGTCTCTCTGTTCGTGCTTAGTCAGTCAGGATTTACATCTCTGAAAATCTGCTGCATCACTAAAACAGCTTTTTCTGTTCTTATGCTGTATCTCTCTCCCTCCTTCTCTCCATCCTCTTTTTTCCCTCTTCGGTCTCTCACTCTCCTCTTTCTGTCTCTTCCCATCACTCTTCTCTCTCTTCCTTCCCTCTCTCCTCCTCTATATGTTTCATGAACTCCCTCAAACACATACACTTTTTCTATCTCTTCCTCCGTCTCTCTCCCTCCTCTCTCTCTTTCTCTTCCTCTGGTTGTCTTCCTTTCCTTCTCGTACATACTCGTTCTTTCTCTCAATCTCCTCTTTCTCTCTCTCTCTCTCTCTTCCCATCATTCCTCTCTCTTTCCCTCTGTCCCTTCTCTCTTTCTTCCCTCTCCTTTCCTTTATATGTTTCATTAACTCTCTCAAAAACATACTCTCCATCTCCCTCTCGCCTTCTCTCCCTCTCTTTTCTCTCTCCTCACTTTGTCTGTCTCTCTACCCCCCCCCCCTCGCTCCCTTCTCTGTCTCTCCCCCTTCCTTCTGCTGCATCACTCCCAACAGCATCTAAAACAACTTTTTCTGTTCTTGTGCTATATTTATCCCTCTCTCTCTCTCTCTCTTCATGGTCTCTCTCTCTTCTCTGTCTCTCTCTCTTCTCTGTGTCTCTCTCTCTTGTCTGTCTCTCTCTCTTCTCTCTCTCTCTTCTCTGTCTCTCTCTCTCTCTCTCTCTCTCTCTCTCTCTCTCTGTCTCTCTCTTCTCTGTCTCTCTTCTCTCTCTCTCTCTCTCTCTTCTCTGTCTCTCTCTTCTCTCTCGTCTCTCTCTTCTCTGTGTTTCTCTCTCTTTTCTTTGTCTCTCTCTTCTCTGTCTCTCTCTCTTCTCTCTCTCTCTCTCTCTCTCTCTCTTCTTTGTCAGTCTTTCTTCTCTCTGTCTCTCTTTTCTGTCTGTCTCCTCTTTCTTCTGTCTCTCTCTTCTCTGTCTCTCTTTCTTTTGTCTCTCTCTCTTCTCTGTGTCTCTCTCTCTTCTCTGTATCTCTCTCTTCTGTCTCTCTCTCTTGTCTGTCTCTCTTTTCTCTGTATCTCTTTCTTCTCAGTGTCTCTCTCTTCTCTTTCTCTCTCTCTTTTCTCTCTGTCTCTCTCTTCTTTGTCTGTCTCTCTTCTCTCGTCTCTCTCTCTTCTCTTATTCTCTCTCTTCGCTGTCTCTCTCTTCTCTGTGTTTCTCTCTCTTTTCTTTGTCTCTCTCTTCTCTGTCTCTCTCTTCTCTTTCTCTCTCTCTCTCTCTCTCTCTCTCTCTCTCTCTCTCTTTTTAGTCAGTCTTCTCTTCTCTCTGTCTCTCTTTTCTGTCTGTCTCTCTGTCTCTCTCTCTCTCTCTCTCTCTCTCTCTCTCTCTCTCTCTCTCTCTCTCTCTCTGTCTCTCTCTCTGTCTCTCTTCTTGTCTCTCTCTCTTCTGTCTCTCTTCTGTTCTCTTTCTCTCTTCTCTGTCTCCTCTCTCTCTCTCTCTCTCTCTCTGTCTCTTCTTCTTTCTCTCTCTCTCTTCTCTGTTCTCTTCTCTTTTCTCTTTCTTCTGTCTCTTTTCTCTTCTCTTCTCTTCTCTCTCTCTTCTCTCTCTCTCTCTCTCTCTGTCTCTTTCTCTCGTCTCTCTCTCTTCTCTGTCTCTCTCTCTTCTCTGTGTCTCTCTCTCTCTCTCTGTCTCTCTCTCTCTTCTCTGTCTCTCTCTTCTCTTGTCTTCTCTCTCTCTCTGTCTCTCTCTTTCTGTCTCTCTTTCTCTGTTCTCTTCTCTCTCTCTCTCTCTTTCTCTCTCTTCTCTCTCTCTCTGTCTCTCTCTTCTTGTCTGTCTCTCTTCTCTTTCTCTCTTCTCTCTCTTCTCTGTGTTTCTCTCTCTTTTCTCTGTCTCTCTCTTCTCTCTTCTCTCTCTCTCTCTCTCTCTCTCTCTCTCTCTCTTCTTAGTCAGTCTTTCTTCTCTCTGTCTCTCTTTTCTGTCTGTCTCCTCTTTCTTCTGTCTCTCTCTTCTCGGTCTCTCTCTCTTCTCTTTCACTCTCTCTCTTCTCTCTGTCTCTCTCTTCTTTGTCTGTCTGTATTCTGTGTCTCTCTCTTCTCTGTCTCTCTTCTGTTTCTCTTTCTCTTCTCTGTATCCCTCTCTACTCTGTATCTTTCTCTCTTCTCTGTCTTTTTCTCTTCTCTGTCTCTTTCTTCTCTGTATTTCTCTCTCTCTCTCTCTCCTCTCCCGCTGTCTCTTCCTCTCCCCTCCCTGTCTCTCTCTCTTCTCTGTTTCTCTCTCTTTTCTCTCTTTCTCCATCTTCCTTCTTTCTCTCTCCTCCCTCTCTCTCTCTCCTCCCTATCCCTCCTTCCTCTCTCTTGCTGTCTGTCTCCCCTCTCTTTTCTCTCTTTTCTCTGTCAGTAGTTTTTTTTTTTTTTGGAGCTGGCCCGGCGTAGCGTCAGGGCTTAGCAGACTTTGCCTAAACCCGGCTTGACACTTCTCTGATTTAACCGGCTTTGGGGCAAACCCAGCGTAGCGCGTTTTTCGCCCACCAGCGCGACTCTCCGAGCATCACGCCGGATTCTTCCCTGTTCGCTTGTAACGGGAGAGTCATTCCTGATCTCTACATAATCCTGCGTTGGGATTTGCTTGGTTATATCTGTGCACCATATGACCCACTCCTCTGCCTGACACACGTCTCTATACTTCCTTTTTTTTGACATTTTTG